ACTGCGACTCCATCTGCCTCCGCTGAGGAGTCAAACATAGATCGCATCTTCATCCGCCTTTACTTCCAGGGGGAGCGTTAGAGGAGATGTCAGTATCACCTTAAATGATTAAAATGCTCTTTTTTTTTTACCCCCAACGGTAATAAAATGAGCATCAAAGTCCCCGCGCGCGTGATTGACGGAAAAGTTGCGGAACTTTCTTCTGAGAGTTGTCCGTCATTAAGAATTATTAAGAAAACATCACCATCAAATATCAAATCGGGTTCAGTCACTTTCCCGTCCAGATGACAGGTGTGCGTGCGCATGTGTGTGTTGTGTGTGTGCGTGCGCATGTGTGCGTGTCTGCGGCGATGATATCTCCCTGACGGGCTCAGTGGTCGTGGAAACATGAGCTGGCACCCCCAACACGCGCGCGCGCCCGGGTGACGGAGCCCCCCCCCCCCCCCGGTGCTTTCCCGTCCGCGCACATGCAGCTGCATGATAAATGTGAAACTTCATCATGCAGAACTCCGACTGCAACGCGCGGCGGGAGGAGAGGAATTGATTTCCAGGCAACAGGACAGCACGAAATGTAATTACGACACGCGACTTGCGTCAAAAAGCCCGCGCGGTGATCGATGCGCCTTCCTGTGATACGCGCGCTCCGCCGGCCGCGTGCGCCGGGTCGGCTGCAGCGGTGCATGCGCCCTGCAGGCCGAACAAAGAGGAGGCAAAATGCGGGGATGGACGAGCGCTGCAAGGAGCAAACTGAACGGAAAGTTCAAAGATGGTGAAATATGACCGGGGCCTGTTCTCTGAGGGTGTGTTCAGTAGATGGATGTTTGCCTGAGGCCCGCATGGAGACCTGCATGTGTTTGCTTTGGCTCAGCACACGACAATGCACCTGTTTGACCATTTATTGTGGCTGTGTTTGTTATCTCTGCGTCATCAAAACACAAAAGAGGAGCTGGGATCGGCACGACGTGTCATGATGATTGCCGGGACAGAAAGACACAATCCTATCGGCCGATCGCCGCCGGGGAAGAGAAGAGAGAGATGAACATCGTGAAATGCAAACCTAAAAAGAGAACTTTTGTGACGATGACGAAACGATGGTTTCAACAATGTGGTTCTTGTTGGGAGTTAAGTTGAGCGTCACTCCCCTCCAGTCTTAACAGTCTCCAAAACTATTTTTCTCAAAGTTTACCCAACATATTGGCCGGTAACTTGAAGGAACCGTGTGTGGCACGTGGCGCCATCTAGTGGTGATGTTGCAGATTGCAACAGGCTGACACGTCATCGCTAGCATGTTAGCTGCAACTTCCGTGTTGGAATACAGCGCCGGACTTCTCTGTAGCCAGCGTTCAGTTCTACCCTTTGGGGCTCCCTTAGGAACTGGAACAGGAACGGTTCCTTTTCAGCTAACAAAAACACGATTGTTGGTTTCTATTTAATTAAATTCTGCCAACAGACCCCCTGACATGTGTACGTACTGGCCCTTTAAGAGGAAAGTTTGCCTCGCTTTCTGACGGACAGTAGAATGAGGATTAAAAAAAGAAATGAATGAAATCTTCACTTGATGTCTGAATGGGGCAAAGAGATGTAAAGTAAAAAACACAACAGACACACAGACACACACACTTTCACAGGGAGCCCCAAAGCAGCTGCACAAACTCCAGCAGCCTGTAAAAAGCTCACACCCGTCATTATGCACGAGCAATCAGGCAGGTGTGTGTGCGTGTGCGTGTGTGAACATCCAAGTTAGCGCTGCGTCGTTGGACAGTTCCCTTTGCAGCAGTGCGTTTGTGAATTTATGAATGTGTGTGTTTGTGAGCTCCGAGCCGTGCTGCTGTATAACGTGGGTGTGTGTGTGTGTTCATTACTTCAATGCTCCACTGCTTCAGCAGCGTCACCAGGCTGCTGCTCTTAAAGTGCTTCCTCATCAGTCCTCAAAAGTTCATTTTCTGATATTTGAGTACCAAATATGACCTGCATTCAGTTTGAAGAATCGGCCTCTTCCCCTGTTCATTCCACCGGGTAACGACGTTATTTTCACCTTATTTCTTGAGCCCACGCGAATCTGCCGTTAACTCTGGATGAAAACTTGTGCGCCCACAGGGAAGCTTAACCTTTAAATCCAGATTGTTGTGTCAAGTTTCTCCACGAGTCTCGAGCTTCGGTGATTTGCCTTTTGACATTCTGCGGACGAGCGGCTCGCAGATTAAAGGGTTGATGAAAAGCAACGTTTTCATTATATTTAAACTCTGGTTTGCTGTAGTCGACCCTATTTCACCGCGGCTGCTCCTTTATATCTCAAACCGTCAAAGTGAGCTTGAATGTGCAGGTGCTTTTTTAGAGAGTGAACCCGCTAAAATGGCCGATAGACTTCCCTTCGCCATGTTTGCGTGGCTGCTAGTCCTTCCTGTCACCGCTGCAGAGTCTTTTGTCTCCCCAATGGATGCGGAATCGAACCGTTTCCATGGGAGACAGATGCTAGCAGGTGATGTCACATTAAGCTGTTTGATGATTACAGGAGGTCCGGTGTTATTTCTGTCCACACTTAAACCTCATCTGCTGAGCTCGGCGTGTGCTTTTATCCTCGCCGTGTGCATCGGCTGGCCTCCCACTGCAGCCCCCCCCCCCCC